GGGAGGATGCTGCTCCGTGGCTTTTGCCTCAAACTAGCAGATTTGTGCAAAAACATAGTGAAAATGTGTTTTCTCGGAGCGAGGCCCGTGCGGCCACTGGATAGTGCCGTCTCCCAAGTTGTTTTTAAGGAGGAATTGGGTGTTTGGGGGTGGCTCTGCTCCACTTGCCAGCGCCCTCAAACTGCCCCGTTTCCCCGCAGTCAGGGGAGCAGCTTTCCAACATCAAGGAGCACACCAAGCAGATCAACGACATCCAGACCTCCAGGGACATGACCATGTTCATCACTGCCTCCAAGGACAACACGGCCAAGGTGAGGCCTCTTCTTGGGAGCCTTTGGGAGCTGGTGTGCCTGGCTCTCCTGGAGATTTGCTCCTTCCAAAGTGAGAGCTCAGCGGGCAGGTTCAGCGAGAGGGATCTGTCCTGCTGTGGTTAATGAGCACCCAGGCTTTGGGGACAACTTTGCCAAAACAGAGGCTGCAGTTTGGCTGCTTCCAGGAGAGGGCAGAGCTGGGAACTTCCCACCTGCTCTTTCGGGATTCTATGGAAACATCTTGAGGATTTGGATGCCCATGGGCAGCCTTGAGGTTTGCATAACTAACATTTCAGGGCAACACTTGCTTTATAATTTCTTTTCTACCTGTGCTAAATTTTTTTTGACTCACAGGGTCTGTGTTGATGATTCTCCCAGCTGCTTCGCAGAGTAACTCTGCCTTTTGCCTCCTAGTTATTTGATTGCACAACACTTGAGCATCTGAAGACGTTCCGGACAGAGCGACCAGTGAACTCTGCAGCCCTCTCTCCCATTTTTGATCACGTAAGAATGATCTTATTGCATCTTACTGTGATTCCCACCTCGTCCCAGGTAGTGGGATGTGAGGAAGGAAGGTTATAGAAAGTGATACTCATCCTCGCTGGCTGTGAGGTGGGCCCAAGGAACTCTGCTGCTGCCTGCTGTGGGAACAAGTTTTGTATTTTATTTCTGCAAAAAAAAAATATATATATATATATCTAGAAGGCAGGAACTTCTTTGGGACTAGAGCATGCCTGTTAAAGGGCTTGTGGGATCTGCCAAGTTACAAGGAGGCTTCCCTGGGACTTGGCCCTCTGTTTTCCCGTTGGCTGCGTGTGGTTTAAGCAGCACTGACGTATTGTCACTTGTCCCCTTTGCAGGTTGTGCTTGGTGGTGGGCAAGAGGCCATGGATGTGACCACGACCTCCACCAGGATTGGCAAATTTGAGGCGAGGTTGGTGCTTTTTCCTCACTTGTACCTGTCCTTGCAGCTCCTGGTAGACTTGCAGGGGTCATCAGAAATGCAGCACTTCATGAAACCCTGGGAGTGCCCGCTCAGGGCTCCCAACTTCTTGGGGTCATTTAAATCCTCTTCCTTCCCCCAGGTTCTTCCACTTGGCTTTTGAGGAAGAGTTCGGCAGAGTGAAGGGTCACTTTGGTCCTATCAATAGCGTCGCTTTCCACCCCGATGGGAAGAGGTGAGGATCTGTGTGGCTCTTGCAGCCAGGTCAAGCTTATCCCAACTGAAACGTGGGCTGCATCTGGCCCCAATGTAGGGGAATGGACCCAGCACCTTGCCCACTGTTGCTGCCTCCCTCGGAGCCAAACCAGGCTGGTGCTGTGGGCCTGGCAAGAACTCTGCTGATCAGTGGCTGCTTAATGCCCCCAACTTGTGCCTGTTGCTCTCCTCTTTGCCTCTCTTTTTTCCTGAGAGCCCCGACTGAAGAATACTTTGAGTTTGAATCCGAAGCTGCTCGGGCTCCTTCCCGGGAGGCTTCCCTGGCCCACAGGATGCTCCAGCATCCGCCTTGTGCGGATGGTACCTGCTTTGGCTCTCACCTTGCAGCTCCTTCGTGAGCCTGGGGAGGGAGTTCTGCAAACAGCCTCTTCCCTGGTGTGCAGCTCAAAGCAGCGAGCGCCCAACAAGGCTGTGCTGATGCTGATCTTGTCTTTTCTCCCCTGCAGCTACAGCAGTGGTGGTGAGGATGGCTACGTTCGCATCCACTACTTCGATCCCCAGTACTTCGAGTTTGAATTTGAGGCTTAACGGGGCGCCCGCGTCCCCTGCCTCCCCGTTTCTCAATCCATGGCCGTCTACAAAGAAATATTGTATGACCCCAAGTAGACAATGCTCCACGGAGGCAGCAGCTCTGCGCTGGGCGAGGGTGGCGAAGGAGGAACTAAAGCAGCTCAAAAAGCAGCTTGAAAAGCAGCTCTGCCCTTTTGCCCTGCGTAGAGCGAAGGCGACGCATTGGCTGCCCCGTTGACGCACACTTCCTGCCCTGGTCAGCATATTTAAATAGCCCTCGGGAAAAGAAATCAACAGGCAATAAATAAAAACTTTTGTAAACTCAATGAAAAGTGCCTCTGCTCTTTTGGCCTGGAAAAACAACTGCTCCTGCCTTCTTTGCTCTCTCCAGCTGTCAGAGGGCAGGGAGGCTGTTTTTCCCTGGGCTTCTCTCCTCTCCCAGTTTGATCTACAGCTTTTGTTTGGGCTAAAGGCTCCGAATGTTGACTCTGTAACCAGAGTGCAGTAGCCCTGTGCTGTTTTCCAGCTGACACTCGCGCCCGGTTCTGCCGTGCTGTTTATCTGCTGCGCTGACCCTGAGCCAACTTTCCTAATGGAACAGTTATTTCCTGCACTGGGAAGGCCGTGTTGCAATTCCTGCTCCTTCCACACTCTCTCCCTGCCCCGAGGGGAGATTTGCAGCTCTTTCCTTCCTCCACACCAGGTTCAAGGGCAGGTTGTGGGGCTGTTTCCCTGCTCAGAGGGATGGATGCAGAAGCGGGGCCATGGCCAGCGCCTGCTTTGGGCACAGGGTGCCAGATTTGGCACGTTCTGCTACCCGCTTGGCCCTGTGCCGGCCCTGCCACGCACGGAGCTCTCTGAGGCTGCTGGGCGCATCGACCTGCTGCCCTCACTGCCCTTCTTGCTCCAGCTGCGGAAGCGAGCGGGCCCAAGCCCTGCTTCCCGGGAATGCCTCTGCCCCAGGAACGCCGCACGGAAAGCAGGCGCGCACTGCGACAGACACCGCTTTACTGCACCCAGCTCCCTCCGCGCAGCCCAAACGCTGCCGGTGTGAG